TTTAATGCAAACAAAAGATGAATATTTTAGAGAAACTTCTTACAGAATGATTAAACCATTTTTTGGAAATCAAAGTTGTTTTTAATCAAACGTTTTTTTTAAAGATTATATATGCTTTACTGTAGCAATACATTTAAATATGAGGAAATATTTAAAGCTACAATCACACGATACCTCGTTTCATTATATGTTAATGTAAAATATCATATTACATCTCTGTAAAAAAAGTACAAAACATATTAAAAGGAAAATAGAAAAGTCCCTCCTTATAGATATCATGCATAGATAAAGCCCAAATGTCGATACTATAATATGTATCTTTTACATACGCTTATCTACGTCAATCGATATGAGACAAAAGATAGATTGAAGTCGATTTTGTTGCAGCAACATATCTAACTTATCTGACTGACATAAGACAAAAGAAGATGAATGGGGATAAAAGAAAAGAAGGCAGAGAAGCGACAGCAAATAGAAGTAATGACTAAAGCGATGCTCAGTCTTTTTTTCTGCCCCTTTGCTATGACAACCATATCGGTATATAATATTTACTATTATAGTTTTCGTTAGTATAACCTTATCTTATTAATCTATTTAATTAACTGCTGTTTGAGCCTCATTGTACTTTTTATTCATGTTTGTCACCTCATTGTGTCATTTTTGTTTACTTGACTTGGTAAAAATCATAAGTACCTGTAAAACATGATTGTGGATTTGGTGGAATGATGGAATAATTTAAGAGAAGCAAAAAAGGGGGATACAAAACATTATATGGTCAAGTATTAAAAAATGAATTCAGTGTCATTGTATAGACATTTAGATGGAAAACAACACAAACATTATAAAAATCGTAAAGAATGTTGATCTTACTTGGTCAGGTCTTATTTTAATGAGTACATTGTGCAAAAAGTACAATAAATAATTGTCAACAGTAAGAAACCTTGTATATGAAAATATCAAGTCAAAATGATATATTATATTGGAATGTTATTTATGAATTTGATAAGCAAAATAGATAACAAAACATTTCATGCATTTTTTCTTCTTTACAGAGTGAAAAAGAACCCCATAGACTATCAGCTTTCACTTTACTTTTGGGAAAGTATATGCATTTCATCATGTTACTATAAGTGCAATTATCAGACTTAAATTTATATTCTATCCAGTTTTTGGCGTATTATTTAACCTAATCATGGAGGATTTTCATTGCTCGTATCTAGGGTACCATCAAAAGCGGTTGACCCCTGATCTAAAATGTGACCGTGTATGTAGTTTTTATGCAAAGTGTGATAAGACAGTCAGATTTCATATCGCTTTCAAGAGCATACCTCGGATGGCCAAACTTTTGCCTTATCACTTATGTAAATACTAGAGGTAGATAACCAAAGATAAACTGAAGAAAACCTATAAACTTGAGGGCCACATAAAATGATAAAATTCTGTCACATTCCTGTAGAATACGTTACTTGTTATGTGGGACCTGATAGAGATTTCACTTTTACGAAATACACCCCATATATTGTCAACCTTTCCAACGTTACGTTCTTTTTTTTTTCTTTTTTTTTTTCCTCGATGTTGCCAAATAAGAGAGCTATACAACATAGCATATGGCGATAATGTCAGATACCGTCGAACCCAATCTTCTCTTTTCATGAATATGTGAATATTTTGTCACCTTCTTCGGATATTACAATAATACTAGAATAACATTACTAATGCTTATTCAAAGCATAAAATATTTCCCTCCTCCACATTTTTTTGTAGGACCTGTTTAAAAGTTATTAGAAATACTTTGATTATCTGATATAAATTCACATGTTCACATTTGTGTGAATTTAAAATAAGTACAAACAATAAGAATGTTTTTGAATCATATATTGTAAAGCAGGGGGAATGACCACGAATTGTATTTAAGAAAAGATAGCAATCATTCATTGTAGAAAGTAAACTAATTTGAAAGAATGTTATAGTAAAATGTTATAGTAAAAGTTTATCATAATAATTTATACTGATTTTAGTACTTTGGCAACCATGCAATCATTATTGCTAAACAATGAAAAATGGTACGTTGAATGTAGTCTTTGAATTTATTAAATATCGACATGCTAATAATATTAATCCATACCAAACATTTAGGAAAACAGAAAATTATAAAATTGTATAATTTCAAGAATATCAAATAGTTAGAGGACAGACGGACGGACAGGCGAACGTTCGTGGAATCAACATCACCCATCAGTAAAACCAATGCATTTTTTCTCTAAAACTTGATGTCTACCATCAAATGGGTTTGTCCGTTAAGAGTCATGTTTCTTACGATAACACAAACAAAAGCTTTACCCATAAAACTAGCAAACGTTTTTATCTTGCAGTCTAAATTATCCGCGGATAAGAAACTAGCGATTATAAATTATTTGTGGATAAGGGTTGGTAGATAGTGACGTTATGGCCAGGATAAGCCTAGAGATATGATATATGACAACCATAAAATTAAGTATCATGGACAATTATTGAGATAACCATATCTCTCCATGGATAGCCAAAACGAGGTCCGTATTCTGTAAACGCAGATCGAAATAGGTCGTAAAATCGTATTTGTTCTGCTTTTTCTTTATCGTGGGTTTTTGTTGTTTCAGGGATGGAGATGGCTTTTTATGACTTCTTTAAAATATGCTTGTCTATAATGTAGATAAAGGCAGTGAAAACTTTTACATAGACCTACTTCTCTCTCTTTACCTCCATCTGCTCTATCGTTCAAATCTTATCAGAAATTTAATATATAAAAAACATATATCTATTATCTATATAAAAATGGATTGAAATCGAATGTTTTCTGATAGAAACTTGAAATCGGTTAAAATACGCTACAGTCTAGATTTGTGTAAGCCGTAAATATTTGTATATATTTTTAAAAGCGAAAATGCAGCATACATTATTTATGAAGAACATTTAGTCTTGTTTAGTGATGCAGTTGAATAAATTAGCAAAATTATATATAATTACCATCCGACATAAACGATGCTAATGTAATGCTGAATTTTTAATTATTTTTAGTCAACAATATCGCTGGAATCAAATTATAATGCGCTACTGCATATAGTCCATTGTACAGCTTATTTCATTAAAATCTATAAAAACACATAAATTATCACAAAATAAAATCATATTAGAAGTAAATGAAGAAAGGTTAAAAATAGAATTATGCCTTGGAGGTCAATGTTTAAAAAATGACGAGTTATGAAAAATTAAAACGTTCTCGTTAAAAAGAAAATGAAAAAACAATCTGATATAAAGAAACGTTTTCGTTAATAAGAAGAAAAAAAAACACTCAAAAATAAAGAACTTGTTCCATGAACATAAGATATATTGTTTTTCTTTATTTTTTCAAATTTATTTTGTTAAATTAAGAGAATTAAAATATTCTGCTTAATACCACAATCTTTCTCATTAGAAATACAATATAAGAATCATGGAATAAGTTCAATATATAGGAAAATAAATATTTATATAGTCAAATACAGGAAATTATCATTGACAGAAAATCTTAATTTTCCACACACGCAACTTTGTCTGATAAAAATTAAATATATTGAGAAGCATTCCTGATATATCATGACTACTTCCATGTATAATAAATGTTCATTTCTTAGTAAACAAATTATTTACAAAACAATAGTCATTACGTCGTCCAGGGCGATTAATCAAATAAGTTGTTCAATAATATATTAATAAAGGCATATATATGGACAATTATTGATTGATTTACTGATTGTTTGATTGATTGATTAATTGATTGCTCGTTCATGCAAATCATGAACATAAATCATACTAAGCTTCATTCAATTATATGTTTTAATACAACTTTAGATATTGCATTGCATTATAACAAAATGTTTGATACAAATAAGTGCAATATATCAATTAATTATACATGTATTATAAATGTGTATTAATATACACCGTTTCTTTGAAATCATTACAATCATAAATTATTATCACCACTTAAATCACCATAATTAGTGTAGTTTATGGTTATCTTGCATAAGTATTGTATTTGTAATTTTGTTAATTAATAGTATAGCGAAAATGACATATATCAAATAGTATATTTTATATGCCAAAGTTTAGAAAGCGTTTCGTATTGTAAAACGATGATAAAAATAAATATAAACATGACCTGTTTATCGATACAATTTTGTTATATTTGGTGTGTATATCTCCCAAGCTTGAGGAAGAAAAAGCTTTTTACATAAATTACCTTTTAAGGGACAAAATGATAACGGAAAAATGGAACAAGATAAATAAATGATAACGTAAGTCGATAGGAAGATGGGACAGCACACTTATCACTACAGTTAGTTTGTTATCTTAAAGTAACAGCGTTATCAGGAACCAGGTGAACATGTTTGTATGCCCATAGCAACCTAGGGCAATATCGTTCACTCACTAAAACCCAAACAAAAATAAAACCCCAGAAATATACTCAAATTTTTATATGAAAAAAATCATAATCAAATACATCTTGAATATGTTTAAATCAACGATCAGTTTATACTGTGTATTTACATTTTGTAAAATCATTGTAAATTTGATAATAATTTATTTATCTTTGTTTCTGATTATGCGATATCAATATTGCAAAATTTAAATTAAAAAAAAAAACTGCAATAAAATGAATGTAGTAATAATTAAACAAAATGTATCACAAAGATATGAAAATGGGTTTACAACAAATTAAACCAATGGCATATTGGTTAATATCATATGTGTTTAAATCAATTTTACGATATTTTACAAATGGTGACAATAATATTTAGCAAAGAAATATACGAAAAATACAGTTCATTACATACATATATATGTGTTGACAATAATGCATCGGAAATTCCAGAGCGATAGAATACCATGATAACGCAAAGAGGTGTTCCGTTTGCAAGAATATTTTATCACAAATATTTTCTATATCTAATATTTCAGTAAAAAAACTTATATCCACTTACTTTTGAATGGCTTAGGATTAGATTGTTTCCTTCTTGACATTTTAGACACACTTTTTCACTCTCCTTTCTTTTACTTAAACTCCCCGGTATTGTATTGATGACCCTTGCGCAATGTGCAGTGACCCTGATGTAACATGCGCCATAGCACTACCAATAAAAACAAAACCAATTTCGTATTTATAATCCAAAATAATAAAACAATCACTGAAAATATTTTATACGAATGTTCAATAATTTAATACGAATATCAGTCCAAACATAATGTCACACTGGTTTTGCGGTTTATAAAGTAAAACATGAACCGTACAGTTGAATGTTCAATATTACACTGAAGTCGAAATTGGTATATTATCGTCTGCAATTAGCGCGGTAGTATGCTATTGGGCGTTCGGCTCGGGCTTATCGCGACGTTAGATTAGATGTTATCTTATCTGAACGACTAATCTCGACCATTCATCGGGACACTTATCGGACTATCTGAGGTCACGTCATTTGGTACGCGAATTTCTATCCAACACTTGGCAATTGCAAGCGAAAAAACAATAGTGAAACAACAGGTCTATAGGGTATAGTTTCAGATATAAAATTTGATAGCACGAACCAAGAGCCTTGGTCAATTGTGTTAGAAGTGTGGGCAGATTTTGAGATAACTGTTGTATCTACACGATTCATCTAATGTATAATTTTCCTTGGTACGAACGTTCCCTTGAACACGTCCTATTAAAATAAATTATCTTTGAATACAAAAACAGCGGGTCAATATTTTATTTACTATTACTATTAGTTAATGAAAATTGAAAGGAACATTCCAAACGCTTTAATTGAACTTAAAATGGGAAACCTGTAAAATATTATTTAAAGAAAAAAGACGAACTTTAAACATATCGATGTTAAAACGTCTATGCATTAATTAATTCTCGGTGCTTAATTCATTATGCCACGTGCATTTACAACTATTAAGAACTATTTTAATGAGTATGTACTTGCAGATATGTGCTCAAAGGTGAGGTTATCCGATACACCAAACACGTGCGGAGTAAACACCGCGCTTTCAATTTCAGTCAAAGAAGATTGGCTAAAGGGAGATAAGTCATAAACCTTCCAACACTACAAGTTAACTACATGATTGTATTCATTGCGCGCATCAATGCAAACAAAGTAATCGTTTGAACACAAAATCAATAAATTATAATCAATATTTATCATCAAAACTACTTTGGTACCGCACATACGAGTATGTATTGGTTTCAAAGAAACATGGTCAAAATCGCACACACGGCAAACGTGTTGATATGATATTGTGCGTTACTATAATATCTTTAAAACACTATATTATGTTAATGAGGGAAGTGAATCGGTCTCATTTTGTGTCTCGTTATCACCAAGTTTCTATTGATCTTACGTTGAATTACATGATTCTACCTTAAATTCAATATTTCCTAACTAAAAAACAATCTGAGGTAAATGTATTAAAGTTAAGTAAAAACAATGAATCTTTGAAATCCATCTATATTATGTGCCCTATTTAAAAGTTGACGTCAATGAGTAAATTTGTAATTTAAGTATGTAATCATTGACAATTACTTACAGATTTATTTTCAAGTAAAGTCGTTTCAAGTTAGTTGCTTTTAAAGTAAGTTTAATAAATTATTTCTGAAGCTTAGAAGGACAATAATCATACTAATGAAAAAATAATAATTATAGTAATAAAATGTTTAAAATAATAATAATGATAATAATAATGAATAATAATAATAATAATTATTATTATAATAATAATGATAATAATATTAATAACAATGTAATTTATAAAATAATAATGATTATGATAGAAAGTCTATAAAAATGAATTTATAAAAATGATTAATAATGATAAATAATAATGATAATGATGATATAATAATAATAATAATAAATAATAATAATGATAATAATATTAATAATAATGTAATTTATAAAATAATAATGATTATGATAGAAAGTCTATAAAAATGAATTTATAAAAATGATTAATAATGATAAATAATAATGATAATGATGGTGATGATGATGATGATGTAATAATAATAATAATAATGATAATAATAATGATTATAATAATTATAATTATAATAATAATTATAATAATAATAATAATTAATGTCTTTGCATGGACTTAATGGTATATAAGATAATTCATTAACATTATTTTGTATAGGATACTGCTTATTCCAGAAAGTAACATATATTTTTAATTTAACAAATTTTTGTCAACTGAATAATAAATTAAAATGCATCGGTTATCATACAAATTCTTTTAAATTTATCTAAATGCTACATGAAATACTTTCACTTTACTGTATAAGCTTTCATTTTGCATCGATATTTAAAAGGTCAATGTTTCTATTTTTAATCAACATAATTTTCCATACAACTACAATTAGCATAATGCATATTCATGAAGATATTCGCATATAAAATACTATTCGTCATAACGTCATATTAAGCGAGTCATGTTATAAAGATGCAATTCTCCTAACCGATCAATTTAAGGTTTTGTTTTTCAAATGCTCTATAGTTTGTTAATACATTTGTATTATATTTTTGAAAAAAAAAAAAAGATAACGTAGGATAGATACAGAGAACTACTTCCTGTTTTAATTAAATTCTGTTTATGAAAGAAAATGAGTTATGCAAAATCTCCTACTCAAACCCATCCCCTTCTATTCTCGTTTCATTATGTGGAGAAATTTACTGTTTTCATAATAATTATAAAAGTTTAAGCTTGAACTTTGAGGTAAAATTCAATTGTTTGTCCCATGGCAAAAAGTACCCATGGGACTTTTATTACTTATTTATGTAACTAGTATTCATATTTGATTTTTTATTAACAATAGATGAAGATTGTGAATTTCTATATTTATTCTTGTGTATTTTGGCTTTTTAAGCCTACCTTTCATTTAACAGCATAATGCTTGGTAAAGAAATCTGTATATACATGAGCATATTTTACAAGTTTCACATTTTCTGTCATTTATTGTCATTAAAGAGATTTAAGAAGGACGAATGTCTTTTTTTACAAAGCATCTTGATTGTTTAAATATAAACTGCGAATAAATGACCAATATTGGAATATCTAGAAATTACTATGTTAATTAATTCAATAAAATCATCATCGTTTCTATTTTCACTTATCCATCCTTTATTAAATAAAACAATACATGGCTTGTTTTTAAACATTGTATTTGTAAATACTTAAATCTCAGTGTTGTTACATATTTTTTCTGATCTTTCGGGATCATTGACGACAATGTTTTTTATTTTTTGTTGTGGATTGAAATAAAAGGTTAACCGGTGCTAGGGGGGGGGCATAAACAATATTGCAATTTTCCTAATCAGGCTCAAGGAAACCATGTCTGAATTTTTTAACTGCTTTTATTATTTACTTTTAAAAAATCATACTTTTTCAGATCTTAAAACTTGAATTTTGGATTTGAACATTTTTTATTCATTTCAATTTCAAAAATTGTCTAGAAAAACTGAACGAAAAATAAGGTTAGATATAAATCATATTGAAGTTTAGCTGTACTGTTTTGACTTTTATTATTTGTAATTTAATTCTATGAAATTGCTTTTGTCTTTTGTTCACACTCTAATTAAACATATAACATAATTAAAACACATACAGACAGCAGACATTTTATTTTATTCCAATAGGCTTTAAAGGAGAACACAAAACAGGCAAACTAACGAACAGTTTAGGACATCAACATATAAACATAATACCAACAATCATTATGTTGAACCTCAGTCCTAGACAGAAATTATCTAATACTAGTAGTTGAACTCATATCACGTATACAATTATATATTCTAGAAAAAAAATTCTGCAATGTACAAAAAGTGACAAAAGCAATTGTTTTTAGCCTTGGTCATCGGCAAATGTAAAAGATTTTTCTGGAACAAACTACATATACTTCTAATAGGTTTAAAACACATTATATAATAATAAAATACTACACTTTTATGCATTTTTATATCAAATATTAATTTTGATTTCTCTGTCACATCTCTGATAACAGGTATGGTTGTAATTTCTAGGATTTTTTTTAAATAATAAATATTTCAAAATTTTAGGTATTATGTTATGCTTGCATAAATGAAAATCAGAAAAAAGACAGCGAAAACAAAAAGAAAATTGCAGACTCGATTTTATTGAGTCAGATCATGAGAGATAATAAAAATTACAACACCTCCCACGCCCCCTTACACCGCCTAAATGTCGTTATCAAGCTTTAACAAAAAAGTAAAGTGTTGGAATCAATAATCCCGAATGACTTTTTTTTTTAAACAATGTGAAAATAAATGTTTTTCAATAGTGATATGTACTCAACAATATGGCAACTTTACAAAAGATGACAAATAAGTTTGCTTACAAAACATATGTATATATGCATGAATCAACAAAATGAAATTTGTGGTAAACAAACACTACAACTCGATAAAACTTTTCAATGATATTTTCAAATGATCTTATCACCGTCTAATTTTTTGACATAATATTTTGTTTATACAACTAAACTTCATACGCCATTTAATTTGTATTTCTGGTAGCCACTTGAAATGCATCAAAAGTATATGACGCAATTTGTAAATCGATATCTTGCAATACTGAATCAAACATTCAGCTTTGTTTTTGTTTTTTAATTTATAAAATCTATTAAAGACAAAGATTAATTTTCAATGTTTATCCTTGCGTTAAGTTTTATTGTAAAACCGTGGTATTGTCATCATGTACATTAGTCATGCTGAAAGCATCGTAAAACAATTGTTATAGAACTAAAATTTACTTACAATGGATTTTATGTCTTTCATTTTTTTATTTAATATCAAGGATCTTGCATATGATATTGACCCTTGTTTTGTGATGCTGATGAACTGTTTTTAAAGATAAAATAGTTATATTTGTCTTGTAACGTTTCTGATAACTTGTTTAAGTCATGTTTTTGGCACTCCATGCATCGCTAGAATACCACGATACCTGTGTATCATGTTGTTATGTTTTTTTAATGAAACAATCTAAAACATTGTTTAACCTATAGTTTTATCATTCAAAAATAAGTATTTCGAAGAGCAAATATTTCATGTTGCCTAAGATACACACAAAAGCTTGATTCACTCAGAAGAAAAAATAAAATGAAAGATATTTTCAAGAGCATATTCTCTAAATGTATTTTTCCAGAGATATGATCAACAAATAATAATAGCTCATGTCTGATTGTATTATATATAGAAATGACAATTTAACGGTTTTTTATCAAGAAATATATGCAGTTGATTTTGATTGGATTATTCCCGCGTTCTTTGCATATCAAAATGCCACGTAGCGACATGTATTGCCATG